GCAGTAAGCAGACAGTCAACAGACAGTGAACAGACAGCAGTAAACAGACAGCAGTAAACAGACAGCAGTAAACAGACAGACAGTGAACAGACAGTGAACAGACAGCAGTAAACAGACAGCAGTAAACAGACAGCAGTAAACAGACAGACAGTCAACAGACAGTGAACAGACAGACAGTATACAGACAGTCAACATGACGGTATGAGCACTCGCCTGTCAAGTTGGCGCTGGTTCTCCTGTCTATTAGCGGTGACAGTAGACAGACAGTCAACAGACAGACGGTAGGAGCACTCGCCTGTCAAGTTGGCGCTGGTTCTCCTGTCTGTTAGCGGTGACAGTAGACAGTTGCTGCTGCAGTTCTGTCTTGACAGACTTCCATCAGCCTCACTGTCCTCGGCCTCGCTCTGCCCACACAAAGAAATATACGAGTCAATACACAAGAAACTTATCAATAATTAAAAATTTGTGTCAAAAATTTGAGAATTTCAAATATATATAATATATAAAACTTACATACCTATATAAAATTAATTTGCATGCATAGGTCATTGTAACTCTTATTTATATGAATGTAGGACAAGAATTTTACAATATCAATAATATTAAAATATTTTTTTAATTCTATACAAAAAACACATAAATTATTCAGATATACATATATACAGACATTTTCATGCCTGAATTTTGAGCTTACACATCTTCATGAAAAACAATGCCTGGGTCAAATTATCCAAATAGTGACACGTAGCACTGATACGCTCTGCACAAACTAGGTCAAGATGACCCACACAAAGAAAAATAACATCATTGTTATTTTGTCTTATTTTAAAAAATTTGTTTTTTAGTTATAAATTAAATCTTATTAATTATATATTATTGGTCTTTACAGTCTGACCTGAGGTACAGTTTTGTCGCCAGGTCCTGAGTCGCCAGCGCCTGCTGCATGAAATTCATGATTCAGCGTAACAATAATTTATAATATGAATATAATGTATGAATAATATAAAATATTATTGTATGAATAATACAAAATATGAAGTATGAATACTAATAAATAATATAATATATGGATATTATGTGTATAACGTATGGCTAATGATCCAATATTTATTGCATGAACCAAAATTCATAACAGCATGCAAATGAATCTCTAATTTACAACACAATGAATAGATGACTAGTCTCAAAATATAGTCACTCGACACTAGTGTCACTAGTCTCTCGTTAAAGTGGCACTAGTCACTAGTCTCTCGTTACAGTGGCACTAGTCACCAGTCACTAGTCGTCACTAGTCTCTCGTTACAGTGGCACTAGTCTAGTCACCAGTCACTAGTCGTCACTAGTCTCTCGTTACAGTGGCACTAGTCTAGTCACCAGTCACTAGTCGTCACTAGTCTCTCGTTACAGTGGCACTAGTCTAGTCACCAGTCACTAGTCGTCACTAGTCTCTCGTTACAGTGGCACTAGTCTAGTCACCAGTCACTAGTCGTCACTAGTCTCTCGTTACANAACGGAAACTCAGTGGAAACGGAAACTCAGTGGAAACGGAAACCTCAGTGGAAACGGAAACCTTAGTGGAAAACAGAAACTTGGTGGAAACAAAAACCTTAGTGGAAACGGAAACTCAGTGGAAACGGAAACTCAGTGGAAACGGAAACTTGGTGGAAATGGAAATTCGGTGGAAACGGAAACTCTTTGGAAACGGAAACCTCAGTGAAAACGGAAACTCGGTAAACAGAAACCTCAGTGGAAACGGAAATTCAGTGGAAACGGAAACTCAGTGGAAACAGAAATCTCAGTGGAAACGGAAACTCAGTGGAAACGGAAACTCGGTGGAAATGGAAACTCGGTGGAAACGGAAACTCTTTGGAAACGGAAACCTCAGTGAAAACGGAAACTCTGTGGAAACGGAAACCTCAGTGGAAACGGAAATTCGGTGGAAACGGAAACCTCACTGGAAATGGAAACTAGGTGGAAACGGAAACCTCAGTGGAAACGGAAACTCAGTGGAAATGGAAACTCAGTGGAAACAGAAACCTCAGTGGAAACGGAAACTCGGTGGAAGCGGAAACTCAGTGGAAGTGGAAACTCAGTGGAAATGGAAACTCAGTGGAAACGGAAACTCAGTGGAAGCAGAAACTCGGTGGAAACAGAAACCTCAGTGGAAACGAAAACCTCAGTGGAAACAGAAACTCGGTGGAAACAGAAACTCGGTGGAAACGGAAACTCTTTGGAAACGGAAACCTCAGTGAAAACGGAAACTCGGTGGAAACGGAAACCTCAGTGGAAACGGAAACCTCAGTGGAAACGGAAACTCAGTGGAAACAGAAACCTCAGTGGAAACGGAAACTTAGTGGAAACGGAAACTCGGTGGAAATGGAAACTCGGTGGAAACGGAAACCTCAGTGGAAACGGGAACTCGGTGGAAACGGAAACCTCAGTGGAAACGGAAATTCGGTGGAAACGGAAACCTCAGTGGAAATGGAAACTAGGTGGAAACGGAAACCTCAGTGGAAACGGAAACTCAGTGGAAACGGAAACCTCAGTGGAAACGGAAATTCGGTGGAAACGGAAACCCCAGTGGAAATGGAAACTCAGTGGAAACAGAAACCTCAGTGGAAACATAACTCGGTGGAAGCAGAAACTCAGTGGAAGTGGAAACTCAGTGGAAATGGAAACTCAGTGGAAACAAACTCAGTGGAAGCAGAAACTCGGTGGGAACAGAAACCTCAGTGGAAACGAAAACCTCAGTGGAAACGGGAACTCGGTGGAAACAGAAACTCTGTGGAAACGGAAACTCGGTGGAAACAGAAACCTCAGTGGAAACGGAAACTCGGTGGAAACGGAAACTCAGTGGAAACAGAAACCTCAGTGGAAACGGAAACTCGGTGGAAACGGAAACTCGGTGGAAACGGAAACTCAGTGGAAATGGAAACTCAGTGGAAACGGAAACTCAGTGGAAACGGAAACTCAGTGGAAACGGAAACTCAGTGGAAACGGAAACTCAGTGGAAACGGAAACTCAGTGGAAACAGAAACTCAGTAAAAACGGAAACTCAGTGGAAACAAAAACTCAGTGGAAACGGAACCTCAGTGGAAACGGAAACTCAGTGGAAATGGAAACTCAGTGGAAACGGAAACTCAGTGGAAACAGAAACTCAGTGAAAATGGAAACTCAGTGGAAAGGGAAACTCAGTGGGAACGGAAACTCAGTGGAAACAGAAACTCAGTGGAAAGGGAAACTCAGTGGAAACGGAAACTCAGTGGGAACGGAAACTCAGTGGAAATGGAAATTCAGTGGGAACGGAAACTCAGTGGAAACAGGAACTCAGTGGAAATGGGAACTCGTCCGGAAACCCGGACGGAACCCGGGCTTACACACGACTGTTCATGGGCCGAGAACAGTCGTGTGTAAGCCCTTACTCCTGTTCATGTTAATCAGGACAGTAACCCTAAAATAACGTCGGAGTAGAAGTTAAACTCCAGACTTATTCATTTCAACTGGACGCCGAAGACATCAGTGTTAAAGCTCCAACTTATAAACTTAAGATTATCCTAAACTGTAAGCCGAACTATAATCCTAAGAGTATATTATATAATCGTTTACTCTGAATTTGCTGATCCTCTATATGATTATGATTCATATAAGAGATGAATAAAAAAGAAACCTCCTACAGAACATATGCACCAGCTGCTGTTGCAGCAGGTCAGGAGGCAGGTGCAGGTGCAGCAGGTGCAGCAGGTGACTCACCTAGCACCTGCTGCAGCAGGTCAGGAGGCAGGTGCAGGTGCAGCAGGTGACTCACCTAGCACCTGCTGCAGCAGGTCAGGAGGCAGGTGCAGGTGCAGCAGGTGTCTCACCTAGCACCTGCTGCAGCAGGTCAGGAGGCAGGTGCAGGTGCAGCAGGTGCAGCAGGTGCAGGTGCAGGCGCTGGGTGCGCAGCAGCAGGTCGTTGGAGCGCTGCGCCTGCAGACGGAGGGCGGCCTCCTCCTGCAGCAGGCGGTATATATATCAACAATTTATATATACATTCATATATAATTTAAACATATAATAAAATTATATATGTGGGAGGTCAAAAACTGAGTGTTGTAATCATTAATTTATATGTAATAGAATTATATAAAATGCTTCTATATATCCTATTAAATTTCTTATAAATTCATATATATTACTTTATCTATTCAATAAAATTAGATATATGTGATATAATGCTTCTATATAAGCTATAGAAATATTACATCACATTATATATATTGTTATAAAGATATATCCTGACCGGAACATGACTGCAGTGTTGCCAACCGTTCTTCCTTGCAGGGTATACCAGATTATAGCAAATATACCAGACTATCGCAAATATAGCAGACCAAATGTCTTTACCAGACACCATCCCAACATACCAGATTTGTGACATCTAGTATGGAAATATACCAGATTTGTGACATCTAGTATGGAAATATACCAGATTTGTGACATCTAGTATGGAAATATACCAGATTTGTGACATCTAGTATGGAAATATACCAGATTTGTGACATCTAGTATGGAAATATACCAGATTTGTGACATCTAGTATGGAAATATACCAGATTTGTGACATCTAGTATGGAAATATACCAGATTTGTGACATCTAGTATGGAAATATACCAGATTTGTGACATCTAGTATGGAAATATACNTATATATATATGTGTCTGATATAATGCTTCTATATAATCTATAGAAATATTACATCACATTATATATATTGTTATAAAGATATATCCTGACCGGAACATGACTGCAGTGTTGCCAACTGTTGTTCCTTGCAGGGTATACCAGATTACAGCACATATACCAGATGAAAATATACCACATCATCGCATATATACCAGAAGAAATACACCAGACTATCGCAAATCTATAGACTATAGCAAATATACCAGACTATAGTAAATATACCAGACTATAGTAAATATACCAGACTATAGCAAATATACCAGACTATAGTAAATATACCAGACTATAGCAAATATACCAGACTATAGTAAATATACCAGACTATAGCAAATATACCAGACTATAGTAAATATACCAGACTATAGCAAATATACCAGACTATAGTAAATATACCAGACTATAGCAAATATACCAGACTATAGTAAATATACCAGACTATAGCAAATATACCAGACTATAGTAAATATACCAGACTATAGCAAATATACCAGACTATAGCAAATATACAAGATTCAAAATGTCCATACCAGACACTATCCCACATACCAGATTTGTGCCATCCCGTATGAAAACAACCCAGTTTTTTGATACGTCTGGTATAGAAATATACCAGTTAGCTGAGTGACTTGCATATGGCTGAAGTGGCTTATATGACTTATGTGGCTTATATGGCTGAAGTGGCTGACCTTACGACATGTGGCTTATATGGCTAAAGTGGCTGACCTTACGCCACGTGGCTGCGTGGCTGGTGGCTGCCGCCAGCTGTGCGGCGAGGCTGTGCTTCTGTGCCTTCAGGATGCCGGAGTACAGCTCCAGGTCTGACAGACNGCAACAAGCCAGACCTGCTCCACTTGGAGCATGCAACAAGCCAGACCTGCTCCACTTGGAGCAAGCAACAAGCCCCACCTGCTCCACTTGGAGCATGCAACAAGCCCCACCTGCTCCACTTGCAGCATGCAACAAGCCCCCACCTGCTCCACTTGGAGCATGATACAAGCCCCACCTGCTCCACTTGGAGCATGTAACAAGCCCCACCTGCTCCACTTGGAGCATGATACAAGCTAAACCTGCTCCACTTGGAGCATGTAACAAGCCTTACCTGCTCCACTTGGAGCATGCAACAAGCCTCATCTGCTCCACTTGGAGCATGTAACAAGCCCTGCTCCACTTGGAGCATGCAACAAGCCCTGCTCCACTTGGAGCATGCAACAAGCCCTGCTCCACTTGCAGCATGCAACAAGTTAAACCTGTTCCACTTGGAGCATGCAACAAGCCCCATCTGCTCCACTTGGAGCATGCAACAAGCCCCACCTTGGCCTGGTATTGCTCCACTTGGAGCATGCAACAAGCCCCACCTTGGCCTGGTATTGCTCCACTTGGAGCATGCAACAAGCCTCACCTGCTCCACTTGGAGCATGCAACAAGCCCCACCTTGGCCTGGTATTGCTCCACTTGGAGCATCCACGCGTCGTTCATCTTGTTCCTGTGCTCCATATTAGATATTGGTATCTCTCATGAAGACTCTAGTAGTCTAGTTCTTGTTTAGGTATTTATATTTCCTTTCTTGCTACTTTATGATATGACGCACGTCCGCAGAGCAGAAGAAGACCGATAACCTCTAAGCACTACGGCTCGTCCGCAGTAGCTGAAAATTAACGTTGTTCAGCCAATTTACTAGATCGCATGACCAAAATTAGTTCAAATTATGAAATTCACTAATTTGAAAATTGTGTCATTGACCACGGTAAGGACTTTGAAAATTATGCCAACAGCATTATTTTTACGAGTATATTCTAGATAGGCTCGCCTTAAACAATTCTGCCGAAAAAATTCATTTGTTTATCTTCCTAAATATTGCTCAAGAATTTTTCCCACCACTGATTGTTCAAATTATGAAAAAATAACCTAAAACATTCAAAACAATGTTGAATGCTTAAATATGTGCATGTTGCAGCTTATATTTTGTACTACAAACGAGTTTTCTACATGCCACGGTGATATATGAACAGATTTCGCAACATTTTCTTTTCTGGTGTCTGTGTTGTGTCTTTGGCATGTTTGAAATTAAACAGCCAACGTGAACAAAAACTCCAGCCGAACTCTACGACGTCTAACGTCCAAACAAACTTCAAAAATAATGTAATGTTAAGGGGGTTTGAATTAATAATTACAAAAATTTACAAACAATTGTATTGAATTATAATTTTCATGTAAATATACCCGGACCTCCCGATCACCTGATAACAAAGTTATATTCGATCAGTGGATCCTAATTATATAAAATCGTGATCGTATTTCCGAGGTTTTCATAAAAACGGTACATCACTCGTAGGAAAATTTGAGTTCCGGCATCTTGGCTGTGATTTGCTCTGCGATGTAGCGGTCGATTTTGGCCACATTTTTCTCCGAGATGTCTTCCTTCCACGACCCGCTCTCTCCTGGAAAAAATAAATATGGTAATATAAAAAATATATTTAAACAGGGTGGCCCAGTAGTTATAGTCCTGAGTACCAAGATTGTGATAGAGAGGTGTGGGTTTGAACCCAGCTAACTGCGCAAGTTTCTGGTCTGATGAAAGAGGGTGCACTTAACCTACAGCTTCACAATTGCATACAGGATCAAAATTTAATGTAGAGTAAGTTAACTCATGTTTTAGAGCACACTGTTGTGAACCGGAAATGGAAATGAAAAGCACCCATACAGTAGACGCCGTCAGAGGTAGGCAGTAGCGCGCTACATGTAGCGGCCGCTACATTTTCAGCAGCGGTAGCGGTAGCAGCGTTACATTTAAGCAATTGTAGCGGTAGCGGTAGCGCCCGCTACATTTAGAGCATGTAACGGAGCGGTAGCGGCCGCTACATTTAAAAGTAGCTCTGCCCAGCTCTGGACGCTGTCATCAATTATGTGATTAATTAGTGACCTAAGAAGTTTAATAAAGTAATTAAATAAATAATCAAATTACGATCACCTTTACGATAGAAGCCCGCCTTCTGCACCGCCTTCTTGTCGTAGATGACGTCGACGCTCTGCTCCTTGGAGACGTCCGCGGACTCCGTCATACGAGTGCCCATACGCGCCTTCATGTTCGAGAAGCCCGTGCGGTTCTTCACCTGCGCGCCGTACGAATAGCATTAGACCCACTGATCCCTCGTAGGAATAACATTAGGGCGACTGCACATCGTACGAATAACATTAGGCCGACTGTACCGTGTACGAAATGCATTACGAAGACTGCTCCTCGTACGATTATCATGCAGTCAATGACAAAACTTTGGAAAGATACTAATAGTAATAGCAGTTTCAGCGTTATTAGGCCGTAGGCCTTTCGCCGATTCTTAACATCGCAGAACATTCACAGCATTTTGAGGTCTCGAACTCGCAACGCACTGCTACAATTCTGCTGTGCTTAACCGCCCGGCCTCCTCGCCGATTCTAACCAGAAACTGGCGCACAGAGCTGGGATCGAACCCACGCCTCTCGGCGTGGGGGCGGGTCCCCCCGGGACAGCGGCAGCAGCACCTCCTCCAGCAGCCTGCCCTCTTCCCCTGCCTGCCCGGTCATATAGGTTAGTTACCTTCAACAAGGTAATTAATAGTAATTACCTTCAATTATCATCCTCTTTATTTCATTATATATATACTAATTACCTTCAATTATCTTCCGTTTTTTCAATATATATATATATTAATTATATTTTAATTATCATCCTGTTTATTTCATTATATATACTAATTACCTTCCCTATTATAATATTTACTAATTAACTAATTACTATAGGCTAATTAATGACCACTTGTAATTAGCCATTACGTGTATTGATTATATTTTGATAATTGAATTAAATATAATTGATTATTTAACTAGGACCCCCAAACTCCCCCCCTCACCAGGGGGTCAGCCGGGGGGTCGGTGCCCCCCTCACTGAAGGCGGGGTTGCTCTCCCCCGTCGACATCGTTCCTGTACCTGCAAAATAATTTATCAATTATTCACTTTTTTATTAACTTTTTACATTTTTTTTCAAATATTAGCTAATATTTTTTATATATTTCTGTGGTATTTTTTGGTATTAAAATGTAAATATAAAAAATATATATATCATGTAAAATGTAAAAAATGTAAATATATATAAAATGTATACATAAAAAGATTTTACAAAGATTTATGTAAGAAAAATTCATCACTAGAATAAGAATTAGGCCCTTCAAAAAATATTTGTTAAATAACATTTTATTCCACAATTTACTAAAATTAAATCAGTAAATTATGATATATACAACAACCCCCCCCCCTTACCGCTGACGTCAGAGGGGGCGGTAGACTGGGGGGCGCTGGCAGATGTGGGGGTGGGGGTAGTTGTAGTG